ACAGAGATAGAGAGAGGGATGTTGAAAAGAGACGAAGGGATAGGGTTTGAGATAATGAGACAGGAAATTTGCGATGCTCAAGGATAGGTAACAAGGCTAAAACAGCTCTATAAATAAATGATTGACGGTCATGGGTGGATGGTGGGGGACTGTCGAAACTAATCTGCCACTGTCGCACAAATCCTGCACTTTCTTCCCCCCGCAGGCCCTACCAAAGAAACAAAACCACAGAGCACATTTTGCTGTGTTTGTTGAAAGGAAGTAGAAGTTCTAAAACTGTTTCTTTATTCGTCCGCAGATATTCATGACGTAGGACAGATTTCTTAGGAACGAGAGAGGAGATCTTTGTTGGTGTATAATCCAGACTGAGACTTGAGGATTATTGTCGACATTTTTGACTACCAGAGAGCATGGTGGGGCCACGACGGGTCGGTCTTATTGGTTCAGGATGTTGGTAATTCGCCTGCGTAATAATGACATAGATCTAGTATTATCTTAATAATGAAGTGGCTAGCCGTACTTATCTTAGGCCCTATTAACATTAGAAAACAGGAGGTTTAAAATACATGCACTGTCATTAAGTATTAAGGCACCTGGTTTCGTCTCAAACACAAATACTTTAGGTAGATTCTAGATCTAGAATCTAGATCTACTGCAAACTAAAAATATATATTTACAATTCAGTAAGCCTATTTTTTTAATGGTCAGTCTATATTAAGAATAAGTACGGCTAGCCCAGCTGACATAGATCTAAAATCTAGTACATATGTCTTTTCTTCGCAGATTCCTGTCTTTTTCGAAAATTATTAATAATAGTCTTTAATAGATCTATTATTATTTATTATAATGTCGTTATTATTTTTATGTTATGTCTCGTGTCGGATTTTGAGTGAAGCCACTTTATGTCATTCCACGTTTTATTCAGTTGTTGTGCAATATTAGCCCTTGTCTGATGAGGGTCACACTGTCCTTCTTGCCATTTCATTGGCCTGCATGTAATAGAGTACCTATTCAGATAGCCCTATCCGGAAATATGATATACACGGTAATTCAATTTGAGCTTTGGGAATGACTCTCTGAAATGCGTTTCAAACGAACGGCTACAGATCAGAAAACGACCCAAGGGGGCTCCCGTTACAGGCTTGAAAAAAAAAAAGAAAGAAAGAAATACAGAGAATCATAAAAGAACTAAACGTAACAGTAAGTGTTCGACATTTTTTCAACATCTCAGTAAAATACAAACAAGATTTACAATGTTACCCGCAGCTCATAGGGTGCTATTCATTTCATACTTCTCAAATATGGGTTAGGAACGGGGTTTT